GGCTACAAAGAGGCCGGAAAAAAGGCCAACAATGCGACTGATAGACAGACAGACAGATAGAGAGACAGGGGAACGGGGGCAATCCGTCGGCTGTCAGGCAGTTTGAGAACCTTTTTTAAAGCCTGCGGCTAAATGAGCATTAAAGTTGCTGCCTTTTTTTACTGCATGTCTTGGCGGTGATATATGATGGATGATTAGAGGGGTTTTTGCGTCACTCCTGATAGAAAAGTGCAGAAAAAGTGGAGGAGAAATTATCCAATCGAAGATCTTTCCATATGCTGTTCGCCCTCTCAATCAAAGTCTTTTTTTCGGTTGCCAACCCATGCCGAAATTTTCTTTAAATTCTTCTTCTCACTCTTCTCCATTTCATCTTCATTTTAATATGATTTTCCCTCCTGCTTTTGCCCCCCTACTTTGCCTGCAACTCCTCCCACAGCTCAAAGCTTTACCCGATTTGATTTTCGTTAACCATAAAAGTAGAACACGCTCAACATTTTCTCTGGCTGGCTTTCATTTTTCATCAAACTCGCATTATAGTCGTCAACTTTTTGCTGTATTTTTCTGCTTTCCTCCTTTTTTTTTTTGGCTACAATTTGCCATTACGCCGATTTATGCGCTAAGGGGCCAGAGGAGGAGCAGCAGCAGCTGGAAAATGCTTCTTCCCCCCCCTCGCCGTGCGCTAAATAATGCACTTGGGAAATTAATTTTGCAGCTCGGGAGCGCAGCATTGGGAGCTCCCGAATGTCTTCAGATGCATTAAGTCATAATTTTTGTGATTCCGAATGGGAGGGGGAGAATCTGAAGAGATTGGAGCAAGTAATTCCAGAATAAATTAATTTAATTGCTGTTCGACTCGCACTGGAACAGCGGCTTCAATTAGCAAGAAGTCTTTGAAGAACTTTGCCCGTCTCTCTGTTTCTGCTCTAATTATGTTGTTTGTGCATTGGTTTTGGATAGCAGGCAACAGACATCAGCATCCTGCGTCCCTGCCAAGGCCAAAAGGCTACAAGTTTATGCCATTTTCGAACATGTTTGCCAGGTCTGTGCTCTGCTCGGCTCCCAGGGCTCCACGCCTCCTGCGTGGCTTCGAGCATGTTAACCAGGCCCAACAAATACAAATGAAAGGCAGAAAGGCAGCCAGGAAGAACAGCCAACAGTAAAGGCAACAAAAGCCGCCTACACAGGCGGATAAGTAAACATAAAGCACAGCAGCAGAACAGTGCAGAGGCGGGCAAAAGCGAGGGCAAAAAAACAAAAGAGAAAATGGAAAAGCCAAGGCGAAAAAGCCGTTATGTTTATTATGCCAGGCATGTGAGTTAATTCTTTGAACTGTTGAGGTTGTTCTTGTTGTTATAGCTGATTCCCGCTCTCTCTCTCTGCCTTTCTCTGTGTGTTGTTCTCCCAGGAAAAACCACGAATATTCCCCGAATATCTCTCACACTCCCTACCCTTCCGTTCCATTCCGTTCCGTTCCGTTCTGCCTGCCTGCGGAGAGTACACTATGCTTCAGTTGATCATTATTTTTATTTCAGTCGCGTGCCTGTAACACAAAAATGTTTGATAAAGATGTTGCCTCACAGCACACAAACACAAACACACACACACACAGACATCGTATAGATAAGGTGCCAGAACAACATAGAAGCAGCAAAAAGGGAGCAAAAAGCAGAAGGAAACTTGTGCCAAAAGTGTTGCATACTTAGAAGGGCAATAATCTGGGGTTGGGAATGTGTGTGTGGGGTGTGTGAGTGCACGTTGGCATCTGAGGTGGAGATTGTAGTGTTGCCTGGGGAAAACTATTTAGTTAGTTAGCAAAGTCGAACTACATAAACTTCAATTTAGTTTTTAAGTCTTAGAGAGAGAGGGAAAAGTTGTTTTGCAGTGGATTAGAGCACAGGAAATTTGAATGGGATGCAAAAGTGCCTAATGATAAAGGAATACAAGTATTATTAGCCATGATTTTGGGATTTAGTCTGAATAAAACTCGACAAATTCTTTGCCTAACAATTCTCAAAAATTCTTTGCTTATTCCCCTTAAAGTCTTCTAACGATAATGCGTCTCTCAAGTGAGATAAAATCCCCGTTCTCCCACCCAATTGATAGCCTGCTGCATTATGCTTAGTTATGCCCAGAACCTAATTACAGCTGCGGTCATAAGACATTACTTCTCATACAACACTTAGGCATACGCCCCAGAAGCAACCCTTGGATTTGCCTGAGCTTCCACGCTAACGACTGCATCATTAAGCCACACAGACACAGACACACGCCCAAGCACCCAAGGAGTATCTCATTATCCCAAGAACCAAGTGGAATTATCGACACCAAACTCGTACCGATGAGCCCGGGAAATTCAACCTAAGAGATACATTTAATTTTATTTATAACGCACGCATGGACAGAGAGTGCGAAAGGCGAAGGAAAAAAGCCACTCGACTGGATTCCCGACTGTTATAAAAGCATAAATATTAATGCACTCCACTCACTGAGTATCGGGGTGAGGATGTCTCCTGGCGTACCTGGGAGCAAACTTATTGGCTTATTAAAGCCTAATGCTGCTCCGCCTTCTTCGCTGGCGTGTGATAATGGCAGCCAAACAACACCTCAGACAGGACATGGCCCATTTAGGCTCCAGCTCACACCCAGCTGCCGCACCCCCTTCCTAAGTGTCTCTCACCTTTGCCATGAAGTCAAGTTCAACGCCGCATATTAATGCCAGAATTTCCACCAGCGCTATTCAATATCCATGTGGCAACCTTATAAATATCGCCCCAAGAAAAGGAAAAAAAATAAAAATCCAAGAGCCAAGAGCCAAGGCAGTCCAGTGCCAGGCAGGAAAGTTTTTTCCCTGACAAAGTTTGTGTGGGCCGTGCTGGAAATGGTCAAAACTGTTTAAGCCTTGGCCAATATTGAGCATTAAGTAGGCTTTGATGAGCAATCCCCATGAATAAGAAAGCAGATGTCCCGCCCAGGGTCCGGCTCTCTCCCTGCAGCTCACTTTTATGATGTTCCAAAAAATCAAGCCACTAAAGTTCCCGCATGCCCCTATGGCCCTAACCAACAAACTAGAACCAACAAATGTGGCACGACCCCGAAAACTTTTCAACTCAATTTTCTCCTCTTCAGCATTTTTTGTATATATTTTTGGAATTTTTTAAATATTTATGCTACAACGATGTGCTTAAATTTATGAATTTGCCAAAGTATTTAGTCAATAGCTTAGCAACAAAAAAAAGAGCGAGAGAAATAACAAAAAAGTTTCGGCTCGCTGCTGCATATTTAATGCTGCCTGCCATCATCCTTATCGATGTAAGTGGGTAATATTTATGAGTGCCGGGAAGCCCCTGAATTTATGTGCAAAACTTTTTCCTTGCCCACGCTATGAAATCTCAATGGATGGAAAACTATTTTAGTTTTGCTCTGCACCGCTCCAGTTAAATTAATGCCTTCAGCATGACATTAACAGTCCCAATGCCAATCCAATTCAATTCGTTTTTCCATTAGCGAATAATGTTAATATTTTGTTGTTGTTCTTGCTGCAGCAAAAGGTAATTTAATTTGTATAATCAAATGTCAAAGAGATAGACACAGTGCCTGCAAATTGTGCATGTAAAAACAAACAAGAATTCAATCCAATCCGAAACTAAAGAAAAGCCCAACTGGAAAACAAAATTCAATTAAATTAATGACGGCTTTGATGTTGACACCCTAAAAGAAAAACACAAATGCCATTCCCCCAACAGGCGTTCTTCTTCGTTTTGCAATTGAAATAATTTTAGATGCAGCACTGCTATATGGGGGATTGTCCTGCTGCGAGTGCAACTGAGGAGAGCGCCTCTGACCATTGTTTCTGGTCCCCAGAATCCGAAGCCAGAATCCAGAACCCAGAAACCCATTTGAAGCTGCTCGGCAATTTCCGCTCCAAATGCTCGCCTCGGCAGGGGAAATTATTAAAAGCGAAAACGGGCGCGCTATTACATTTTTGACACTGATAAATTTACAGAACGAGAGAGAGAGAAAGAGAGAGGGGGCCAGTGGCAGACCTTGGAGTACTGCTCCAGAAGGTGGTAATGGGAGGAGGGGCCTGCAGAGTGGTGGACGCCTTCATGGCGGCTAACGGGGAAGAAATATAAATCGGACCCTGGGGATAAATAAGTTTATGTTAGTTATGACATGCTATTTGTGTGTGTGTGTGTGTGTGTGGGTGTGTGTGTGTGTGCGCGTGTGGTAAATGCATTTTGCTTTGTTTGTGCTGCTTACATAATTGTTGTTGTTGGCCAGCCATTTCTTTATGGGAAACATAATTATGCAAATTAATTGTATGCAAATATGCAACAGCCACAGTACAGAAACAGAACACCAAAACGCTAGACTCAAATTTATTTAGATTATATTCCCCCAAAAATTTGACAGCAATGTTGCTTTCGAATTGTTGTGATTGAAGCAGCAGCTGAAAACTCGAGCCAAATGAAATGATTAAATAAATGAGTAGTTCATTATATTTCTGGTGTTCGTTCGGCAGTTTTGAGTTCGAAATTTTCAGTGACCTTTTTCTAATATTCAACATAAACTGAAGTACCAGGTCAATGTGGACTCATCGTCTGCGACCAACCAATTTCGCTGAATTTAGCTATTAATTAACAAAAAATAAATTATTAAGAATGAAAAGGAAAGCATGAGGAAAACTGTTTAGACTTGATGTAAAATTGGCAAAATATCAATCAAAGTGAGTTTGAAGTTATTAAATGTTGTGCAAATATTTCCGCTGTTGGAATGAATGAAGATAAATATAAACATGTATTTAATGGTTATGTATCTTATATTTGAACCTATAAACAAACCTTGCTGTCTGAAGTGTATAAAATCAATACAGCTGCAGCTACTCCTGTCTCAGTTTTCCCTTCAACTGCTGCCACATAATATTAGGAAAATATTCAGCTATATTTTGCTTGCAAAAATAAAACAAATCTTTAACGGATTATTTACTTTTCCCATTACAGGGCGCACGGGCAGCCCGAATTCAACTCAAACGGAGTCCCGCAGTCACTTTTGGTCTGGGGTCGGGAGTCTGCAGTCAGCGACAGAGCGTGGGAGGTACGTAAATAAGTCAGAAATGCACTCGAAATGCATTTGGACATAAATAAAAATAAATAATACCTAACAAAGAGAAGCGCCCAGAGACCATTCCTCTAAGCCAACAGCCACAAAAGATTTTCAAAGCCAAACGAAAGAAATGACAAAAAAAATATAAAAGAAAAAAAATTAAGTGCTAAACTTTTGGTGCTGACTGTCAGAGAGAAAGACAGAGAGAGAGAGAGAGAGAGAGAGAGTCAGCGAAAAGGGTCAGGGAAAAATATGCAAAATTCGGACCGACGCTCACTGTTAGTGAAGCAAAAGCCACGCCCACAGCCAAGAGCTATAGATAGAATTTATATAGGGGCAGAAGAGGGTAGAATTTGTAGAATGGCGAGAAGTTTCCAGAGCGTATCCATGTTAAATTCTTCGAGCAAACGTCGCGCATTGTTTGACTTGAACTATTCTGTAAGTTATTTCTTTATTTTAAGTCACGCGCGGCAATGTGCAGCTTTTTTTTTTTTTGCCACCAGCATACCCTGTAGGAAGAGGAAAACGAGGGGTAAGCTGAATTTATGGAACATATGCCATGTGTATAAATATCCCCTAGAAGACTCAAAAGACAAAAGCAATACAATTTTAATTAATATTCAACTTTTGAATTTTGTAAACATTTTCTTAGGGAAAGGTAGGGTTTACGGTAGGGCATCTCTTTCTGAAACCTTTCCTTCTATTAGTTCCTCAGATGCACAATCAAGAACACAAGTCAGAAGCAACCACTGAGCACCGGGTATCCCATTGTCTAGACACTCGACAAAAGGCTTGCTTCTCATTTTATTTTCTCTTTTGTTTGACCCAAACACACACACCCACACACACATTCCCATGGAGTGTCACACACACATATACAATTATATATGTGTGTGTGTATGTATACGCACAATTTCCAAGCGCGACTTTTTGCAAATTTGTAGCCAGCAGCAGGAAATCCTTTCTTTAGAAGCTAGACCGGGAGGGGGACATGCTTAAGCTCAGGCTTTATGAGGCCACTAAAAAGAGGTGGGGGGAGGAAGGGACAGCGCAGGCCAGGAAGCACTACAGCAATATATTTGAGTGTGTGTGCGTGTGTGTGTGGTATCTGTGTGAGTGTATTTTTGCTGGGTGTTAAGTCAGCTAAAAGCCTTTGGTCCCAACCACTTGAAATTTTGGATGCAGCGTAACTTTTTAGAAGCGGATGCAAGCAGAATTACAAGCGAAGGGAGGAAGAGGAAGAAAGAGCTGGATATATGGGTAGGAAGTTAGAAAATGTGGCAGGGGGGAGAGGGATTCACAAAGCCCGATGACTCTACGGGGGCTACTAGGGGGCCACTAGGGGGGGGCTCTCGAAAAAGTTTTATGTGAGCGCCAAAAGTGCAGTCAACGCACTTTCGGGGCCAAGTCAAAAAATATGAGTTGAGAATGGGATTGCTAAATGGTCAAAGGCTGCATCGGAGAGGGGAGGAGACGAGGCTGCGGAGCAGTGAAATTTGAGGCTGCAAAAGTTTTGCTTTTAATAAATGTGGCAGCTTAGCCAAATGCAACTGACTGGCAAATATATAGAGTCGCTCTAATAAGGCGAAATGTGGCGAACTTTTGTTGAAAATTGATTAAATGTTAGCAGAGAGATTTGTTCGCTTGAAGGTGACAGAAGGGTGGGCATGTGGCAGAGGGATAAATGATGTTGTTAAGTGGTTTCAAAACAGTGTTAATAGTTAGTACTTGGCGCTTTGATTCATCCACTAAATCCACAATTAAATCAACAAATTGAATGCATTTGTTGCCAATTTACAAACCCCACTCAGCACTGACTAATTGACTAACTTCCCCTACCCCAACAGAATGTTTTAGATAAATGCATTTTCAATTGTTTCACACATTTATTCGGCCATAAATCATTTATTTGCTGGCTGTGTGTGCACTGGGCATTTTCTTGATAATTTCACACCTCTGTAAATCCACTGACATGGATATGGCAACTAAATAGCAAAAATGAAGCTGGAATTAATTAATTGGAATGGAGAGCAGCAAACTGTCAAGTGCTAATTTTCAATTTAAGACCAAAATCCCCAGCTGAAAACCCAACCAGCCGCACAGCCATAATATTGCTTTTTATGCCCGTTTTTTTGTTTTGTTTTTTTGTTACAAATATTTGGTTAACTTTACAACCTTTTGATACGCGTGCGAGTATATGCACATTTTTATTTGTTTAACACATTTTACTATCCGTCTATATTTCTATCTCTCTCTCTATCGCTCTCTTTCTAAGTAGACTTTTTTTGTTGCTGCGCTGAAATGATTTATTGCATAAATTTCATTAATTTGCTGCGCTGTCATAAAAACGACAGCAGCGGCGCCCACAGAGATGGAAAAAAAAAGTTGAATAAAATAAATTTGATTTGCTCGTGTATGCGTATCAGTGTCTGTGTGTGTCTGTCTGCGTGTTAAACAAATTTTTATGGGCCACCTATTGGGGCGGGCGCATACACTCCAAATGGTATTTATGACCCTGCCGACAGAGAGAACTCATTATACGATGCTCGTCCTTGTCCTCGTACGCCGCCTCGTTGGGCAATTGGAATTTTAAAATATTTATTTTATGCTCGCATGTCGCGTCTCTTGTCTCGTTTCTACTTTACAATGTCAAGAACACATGTTCGGGGCTTTTGGTTAACGCTACGTGTCAAAAATTAAAAATTACACTCCCGTCGCTGAGCCTGTCCCTGTTCCAGCCTGATCTCTTCATCAAGTTGCAGCCCCAGCTCCAAGTACTTCTCCAGCCATTGCTGCTTATTTGGGTACTGTCTTTGGCCTGGCTCCTCGTGCATATAAATCCATTCCGTAATAGATCGTGTCTAATTTATGAGTTACGCGAGTATTACAACAACTTATTACGAGCCACTCACACACACACACACACACATAGAGAGAGAGAGAGAGGCACATACGAGACTCATACGTGGGCGCTGCGGGAATTTCTGCTTTTTGTACCCTTTTCGGGTAGGGTATTTGGATTTTCTGTGGCCATAAAGTTGCTGCAAATTCTAGATATTTCTATATAGAATCTGTCACTATACAGCCATGACCAATTGTTCTTTCTGCATGTGAATTTATTAGATTAAAAGTAGATTTATTTGATGTCATAGCCCCAATATCATATAAGCATTTCATTCAGATTTATATAATTTAAATGTCTTAGAAATAATCAACTGCATGTAAACTCTGTCAAAAATGTTTGACGCTGCAGATGCTCACAAAATATTCTTAAATATTACTTCATATTTTAAACACAACATAAAAACACGACATATAAACATTTTATAGACCTATTTTAGTCCGAATTTATCCCTCAGTAAGAGTATTTACAACTTCGCTCTACAAACAAAACATTTCTCTTCCGTTTCTCCTTTTTTTCTTGTCTTCTAATTTACGCCTTGCGTGCTCTTTCGACCAAAACTCTTGGCCTGGGTCGAGCATTTTCCATTAAGTCTGCAGCTGCTTTACTCATAATTCATGCCACCCACATACACACACTCAACACACAAACACACACATACATTTAAGCTTAGAGAGACAGTCACAGATTGGGGGCATGTTAATTTGTAGGCCAGTGCAGGCGGAAGTCCTTTTTGAGGTCTTTAAACGCAAATGAAAGGAAAGCTGAAGCTTTTACTGCCTGCCAGGAACGCCATGTATCACTTGTGGATGTCTCCCTGTCTCTCCCTCCCACCCCTCTCGCTCCCTATTCCTTTTAGCTCTTTGTGCGTGTTGCTCTAAATTAGATTTCATTTGTGCATGTCGTTGTCCTTTCAGGGGGTGCTCTCAGCTAGTTATCGGGGTCGCTCCCCCATTCAGTCTTTACGACCTGCACATAAAACCCTTTTTCTGGGCACCCAAATAAAGTCCAAGCCCCAAAATCAATGCCAGAATTAATTAGTTCCACTCAAACTGAAACTGAAACTGTCATAAACTGAACCAAAAACTAAAGTAATTTTCTGTGTCGCATGTGTGAAAATGTTTCTGCAACTTAAACTCAATCCACAAAATATTTTCTGAGCCATAGATAATCTCTGAGATATTTGCAAAACAATGCAACAATTCGTGGGGATGGGTGTAAATATTTCCAGAGCACTCAACAGTTTTCTTAACTGCCAAAGAATGCAAAAACAATTAACTCATTACGGGCGCTCATTAGGCGGGGGCACAAGTTGATTAAAGCCTTCAAAAACTTTTGCGCCAAAACAATGTTTTCAGACACACCAAGGAAAACAAAAGAGCCCTTAACACGGGACACCCCATAGCCCCACAGCCCCACAGCCCCACAGCTCACACCCCACTGGAGGGAGACTTGTGACAAGTGAAGTGCCACTCCGAAATATGCCCAAGATAAAAATGTTTGCTGGTGTTTGTTCGTGTTTGCGCCTGTCGACAGGCGAACAACACACGAAAAGTAGTCGGTGGAGCGGGGAAAAACTTCTTAAAAATACTTAAGAAGCGATAAATATCCACAGATACATAACACGAGGGAGGAGAGTTCATGGCAACGACTCTTTTTTGACTCTTGAAACTTTTTCCTTAAGTTGCCTATTTGTTACTTCTCATTGGTGGCTTCTACTCGTAGATATATTTGTGTGTATATAGCCCACTGATACCACCAAATCGGTGAAACTTGCACTTGTTGTTGCCTTTTCTCATTATCTTTTAACGTTATTATTACATGGCACACTCTCGAGAGTGAGTGGGGAGTGGGGAGCTTAGCCCTGCCATGGCATTCCTCCCTCCGACTTGTGCCCATTCCCTGGCTTATTCCCCCACATGAACAAATTCCTTTTCCGCTGGCTGTTTCCTTGATTATTATATTTGTTTCTTGCCGTTTGGTTTTTATTTTCGTTACGCCGGCTTTTGCTTATTAAAAAGTTGCCCATCGATTATTCGAAAAGTTTGACAACGAAATATTAGAAAAACAAAATGCCAAACAATAAACGGTTGGTTGCCTAGCACAAGCTGAAACTTCGATTGAATTGAGAGATCAAAAGTGGCATAACTTTGCTGACACGAGGCAGAAATAAAATAAATAGACAGACAGTTGAAGGTGTCTCTAATAATTGGAAAAACTTTGGCAGTGCTGCGAGAAGTGTGCTTAATTTTAGGCCATTTCTTTGGGCTTTAAATTGGAAAGAATTAAATTAAATTCTCGCAAAATAAATCATTAAATTGCTGACAGAATTGTGTGTCATATTGCTGCCTATCCATTATCTTTCTGCATCTAGTTCAAGGTTTTTCCAATACCTAAATTCCGCTGTATTTAAATTTCAAGCTTGTAATAAATCAAAAAACTGATACGAGTATTCAGGTCATTGCTTGATCGATTGATTGATGAATGTCTCAGGCGGTACTTGGGCACATACTTTCCATTAGAGGAGATACATTTTATGTCTTGTCTGGAGTTTGCTTTGGGAATTTAGCTTGGGTAAATAAGTAAATATTTCACTGCCCTAATTTATTACAGACACTCCCCTCCCTGGCTACAGCCGGCGAACAATGAAATCAATTTAGAATAGACTTTTCAACACACACATATCTGGCCTAAGCCTAATCTTCCACTCTCTGTGTCTCTTTGCAGTTATTATAAAACAAACAACCAGAAGGAGGAGCAGCAACGACAAAGCCAAGTCTATTAACAGGGCAAACACAAGCCTCGCTTCTCTCCTTTAACGAGAAAAGGAAAACCCATCCACCCACGAATGGGTAAGCTGGCAATGAGGCGACATCGATGCGAGGAGCAGCAGCAGGAGCAGATGAGGAGGCTGCCTGGAACCGATTCGAAACAGTTAGCCGGCAAATCGGATTGCGAATCTGCTGTATTGACATAAGGAAATCGTTAGCCGGCTTAGCCAGCAGCCCCCCAACCCGAGACACAAAGTGGAGCCGAAATTTAAAATTAAAAATATTGCAAAAAAAAGAGCGAAGATAAGCAGAGACGCTGGAAATCAAAGACGGCACACAAAGTGATATGCTAATGCATTGGATTTAGAGAGAGACAGCGAGACAGAGAGAGAGAGCGACAGAGACAGAGACAGAGACGGGTCGAGTGTTGAAGCATGAATATTTCATGAGGCCAAAGCCGAGCAGGAGACAGAGAGTTAAGAGCCAGCCCCAAGTGATGACAATAAGCTGTGACATGGCGGCAAGTCGCTAGAGACAAGCTCAGAAACAGCTCAGAGCAGAGTGAGAATTGCCCAGAGCGAAAGAGAAGGAGTGAGAGAGAGAGAGAGTAAGGGAGTAAACGACAACAGTTTCCGGGCTGCAAGATGACAGAACTAAGACGAGCTAATGGCCTGGACGCCTCCGTTCCGCGGCTCCACAAGCAGCACTCGCTGCGGCAGCATCCGCTGCTGCACTCGCTGGCGGATCATGGCTGCAACCTGAGCAGCGGTGGCAACAGTGCGGCAAGCACCACCAGCAGCAGCACGGCCACAGCCACCACAGCACTCGGAGGAGGAGTTGGAGCTGTACCTGGCACTGGGCTGGGCAGCACTCAGCGCAGTGTGGAGTTCGATGAGCATGATATTTTCTATGTGTCGCCATCGAAGCGAAAAGGGGGAGGCCCTGCCAATGGCTCTCTGGTGGCTCCTCCCAGCAATAATCACAATGTGGTTACCTTTTCCAACTTTGTGAGCGAACAGCGGATGACGCCTGCCTCCTCGCATCGCGGATCGTTGAAGCGCAGTAAGGGACGCAGCAATCAGTCGCTGTGCAGCTGCGATGCCGGCGATGAGGCACAGTTGCAGCTGCAGCCGGATGCTGCCGCCAGGCCGCTCTTCGAGTACAGTCTGGAGCGGCGACGGAAGACACACACATACTCGTGCGAGCAGAACGCACAGATACTCATGAGACTGGAGCGCGAGCGTAATCGTAAATTATCGCTGACTTTACCCGGATCCGCCAGCGAAATGGGACTGGTAACTGGAGGAGGATTGTTGGATCTGCAGGTGAGTGTTGTAGCCCCCCCCCCCCCCCACCCCCTTCACTTTATGTAATTGTTATTGTAATCATGAGCATCCACGTGGCACGTGGCGCGTGCCTGCAACAGGCAGCAGGTAAATGTGATAAGCAAACAGTGCCGCAGCACGTAGAACGAACACGAACAGAGGGATGGAGAGAGAGAGAGAATTCCCGACCGACACCTGCCACCTGACAGCTAGCGTTTTGTGGGCAACAGCTTTGCTCCACGGGGTCTTTGGGGGATCGAAACAGCTCAGAAAATTCTAATTTCTCTTGCTTCAAATGTAAATTTATATTGCTGTTGACTTAAGTTGGAGGGAATGGGTTTTATTGGAGGTAAAAAACCTCAAAGAGCGCTAACAGTGCGCTAACAGTGCGCAAGCAGAGCGTTAACAGTGCGCTGTAGCTGGCAGCGGTTACAGGCTGCTAACATGGGGTCTAACAGCGCTGCTGCTCTGTTGCGGCTGCTGCCCTGTTAAACTTGCTGCTCTGAGAATCGCCCAAAATTCTCTCGAAAACTTTCTCAATCGAGTTGCTCGAATGCTCGAAATTTCCCTACTGTTTTTCGAAAACCCCTTCATATTCGATAATTTTTTCCAATCGAGTAGGTTTACATTCACAGCTGTCGCTCGACTGTGTTCTCACATTCCGATACTTTCAGTCGTGCCCTGATCCCACTAACAACAACAACAAAAATCGGAAAAAAATTGGTACTCGATAACAATATTTTTTTCCGATAAATTTTTTGTGGAAAATTATCCAACAACAAATTTGTAAATATAAATTCAAGAAAATAATTATTAAAAAAATAAATATAACGGAAATAAACTGAAAATGGATAGCGCTGTGTCTTCGGCGTCGTTGATGCAATCGACGGTATCGCTGTCCAAGGCCAAGAAACCGAAACGGGAACGATTGCCGACATTCGATTTATCGCTGGAGCAGAAGAATGACATTAAGAAGGCATTCGATTTATTTGATACGAACTGCACGGGCTTTATCGAGGAGAAGGAGCTGCGTGTGGCCATCCGTGCCTTGGGCTTTGAGCCCAAGAAGGAGGAGATCAAGAGCATGATGGATGAGATTGACAAGGACAAGACAGGGCGCATAGCGTTCAATGATTTTCTGTATCTAATGCGTCTGAAGATGTCCGAAAAGGACTCTATGCAGGACATGCTGAAGGCTTTTGCCTTCTTCGACGATGATCGCACTGGGCGCTGCTCATTCGCCAATTTGAAGCGTGTGGCCAAGGAGCTTGGGGAGAAGCTCACCGACGAGGAGCTGCAGGAGATGATCGATGAGGCCAATGCCAGTGGCGATGGCGAGGTCACACGCGAGGAGTTTTTGGACTTCACAAAGAAAACTTTTCTTATTTAAATTCCCTTTTTTTTTACTGATTTTTATATTGCTTTGCGTTTGGGGAAACGACGTTGTTAATGGATTAACATAGAATATTGATTCACACATCGTTTCAGGCGGCATACCACGACAGATTATCCACTATATAAATATGCTCTTGAAGAAGTTCTGGATATGCTTCGGTTAAATAAAAGCAAAGCAATATTTTATATATGAAGCCATCACAGAGTCTTTGTTTGCCTCCCTTGAACCCAATCAGACACCCAACATTTATCACAATTAACACGGTGTTGCCCTCCACTGCACCGTGCAATTACAACAAATGACAACCCGATCCCAACCCGCTCCTCCGCTCTGTTCCACGAGCAACGTTCTGGTTGTGTTGCTCCTTTCTTCTCTGCCGTTCCTGGCAGCTCGCTGTCATGCATAACAAATCTCTCTTTGACACATTTGATGTATGCCTGGCCTGGCCTGGCTCTGTCTCTGTCTCTTTCTCTGTCTCTCTGTGTGGCCCACTTTCAGTTGAGTTTGTTGCAGCAAATTGTGGCTGCAATTTGGTGGCATGCGTGGGTGACAGGAAAAAAGAGTGAGTCTGCGGCTCATCCCCTGTTTCAGTCGCTTTTCTCTGTGCCTGTCTCTGGTTGCTGTCGCTGTCTCTCTGTTCAAACGGCAAACATAATTTAGTAGCAACGTTTTGGAGTTTTTATTTACGCTATGCGTTACATTTAAGCTCCATTTAGTTGTTGGTCTGTACCAAAAGACTCTCCATAAACCCCACTCTCCACTCTCTAGTCTGGCTTTAAAATTGATCAACTTCTTTGCTGGATTTATGGCTGCATAAATGCTCGAGTACAGCTGGACCGATTGATGTCCGACACTGAGCTGAATTTATGTTTTCAGAGTATTAATTGCAACCAAGAATCAGTTGTATCGTATCCCATTTGATACATTTTTTATCCATATGCATTGATGACCTCACTGTACCAGCTGTATGTATAAATAAGTAACCAGCACATCAATCTAATAAGTGCTGCAGCATGAAAACTCCACTCATAAAGTCTGAATAGGGTCCGGGAATCCCCACTCCAAATGTATATCTTGACACGCAGGTTTTTATGTCGAAACTTTTACAGCTGCAATAATTAGAAACTTTGCTTCGCATTTCGGCCATCAGTTGGTCTTTAAAAGGCTCTCCCTCACCCGAAAGCCCAAATGGCCATTGATAAAGTCGTAAAGTTAAGAGCCTGATGGATAATTACAAATTGGCAGGAGTCCCAGACTACAGAGCAGAGAAAAACTAAAACAAACTTGAGTATTTATAAAAGTTTTTGCTTATTGCTTTTGCCAAATCGATTAAATGCGATTGTGTATGTGGGTGGAAGGACCAGCCAGGGACACGGCAAAAGTTCGGGTTAAATATAACCAACACTCAATTTTACGAACATTTAACTAAATACCCGGACCCGGGACTCTGCCCCAGACTTCAAACGAAAGAGAGATGTTCGTAAAAAGTTTTTTCGCAAACTACAAAACTGCCATAACTCAACATTACGCCCCGGCACACATACAAATACACTCTCTCTCTTTCTCTCTCTCTCTGCCTGTGTGTGTGTGTGTGTGTTTGCCCCTCTTTGGCATATTCGTGGAAATTTTTGTAACTGTAGCAAGAAATTTGAGGCGAAGCGGAGCTACTGCTGCTCCCTCCACACGCATATAGACACATAAATTATGGTAAAAAATTGCACAAAATTGCAGCAAAGTAGACGAAAAATTATTATAAAATGTGCATTATGAAATTTAAAACGAGACAAAGAGCCAAAGCATAATTCAAAAGGGTAAAGCCAAGAGATAAAGGCAAGAAGGGAAGGGTGGAGAATGGATGGTGACAGAGAAGGAGCAGATGAGAAGCTTAACTTAGGAGTGAAAAGTGTTATTCGTGGGTCGCAGATTTGGATACACTTCAAGATGTAATATTTGGGTAAAAGATTATGAGAAAGTGTCTCGATTTGAAGCCATAAAGAACAGAATTGTATTCAAAAACATCAAAAATATATTCCTAAAAATATGACCTCGTTTTGACACTCAATTTCCATTTCAATTGCCTGGAAGCTATACCTAAACCAAAAATCATACAACCCTTCAGTAAAGTGTATTAAAGACCGCACCAGATGACAGAATAAAAGGGAAGCTGGCGGGTAAGCGAAAAAAAAGAGTGCAAAAAATGTGGCATGAGACAAAAAATAAAACTCCTCTAAACTAAAGGGAAAAACGTCGGCTAAAAGTCGCATAGAAGAAAAACTACGGCGATATATCAAGCAATTTAATGCTCGAAAAACGCACCGAGAGATGCGGTGCACCACGAGTCGCTGCCACCCGTCTGCCACTTGCAACAGTGCCACATAAACATGGCGTCAAATTTGCGGCGTAAACGCCAAATAACCATATATACTGTTGCATAGTTTTTGGGATGCACTGTGCCACAGAATTTATTCCACACACATATACATACATGGCGGGGGAACTTTGCTCTAGTTCTTCGCGTTTAATTAGTGAGTGATTTGCAGTCACAGCAGCTGCAAGAAATGTTCAAGTAACGAGAGGAAAGCTCAAAGGGAAAGAATAGAAAGAAAAGGAGTAGCTAGGGAGAAGAGAGAGCACTTCCTTTCGTTTGAGCAGCGAGAAAGAGCAGTCGAAGAGAGGAGAAGCATGAAGAAGAAACTGTGTCTAGGATGGCAATTTGCTGGGATATATTTACACTGTTTAAGTTGTCGTTTAATCCGCTGATAAGCATCCAACTTAAGAATGTTTATTTAAGGGGACATGGAGCATGTTTTTGCAGCACTTTGAGACACTTCATCAAACATATAAACAGTGACATCAAAGGGGTTTTAATTACCGATTTATAGAGATAAGTTGAAGTGCCGGGAGAAGGACAGAAATAAGGAAACCAGAACGAAGAAATGGATGCAACTGTTCAGATATTTTTCGGAGCATTTTTTGGCCATTTTCATGCAACTGAAGGCAGATATATGATTTGAAATCCATTCCAGCAGCTTAAAATAAATATCCAAAAATTCTCTCTAGCTTCGTTCGACCTCTTCGCCCCATAAATCATTAAATGGCTAACTTTGATCTCATTAAAGTTACGAAAAGAAAACCATTTCAATATAATTAACCTTACCACTGCCCCTGGCCAGCCCACACGAAACGAAAAACTCCAAATCACAACAGCAACAACGGAAAATATGAGCAAAAAAAAGTGAGAAAAAACCCAAAAAATAAATAAAAACTGTTTAGAAATTGGCTGGACGTAAAATATGCAGCACACGCCGCCGCTAAATATTTGCATAAATTATTTAGAGCTGGCGACAGGCCGGGACAGAAAAGAATTACCAAATGAAAATATGAAAATTTCAATTTCCACTTAAGCAGCGGACAGGATGCGACAGGAGGCGGACAGGACATGGACAAGGTGACAGGGGACACTCAGGGACACTCAGGGACAAGACAGAGTAAATAAAAAATAATCAAGACACAACAAAAAGAGAGACAGAAACACAGACACAGACACAGACAACAATAACGATGGTTGCTGGTGTGCCATAAAGCAATCAAAATTCAAAGAAATTTTTATTAATGGCAATGCAGACACACATAAACAGGGAACAAAAAAGGCAAGAAAAGTGCCAGGAATAAGCAATGTTTCAGGGAGAGGTGAACTCAAATCAATGCAAATGTATTTCCCGTAACTGAAATTCAATTTCAAATCCCAGAGCGTGCTTTTCGAGATGCTCCTCCGTCCTCTAGAGAAGTGCTTCGAATGATTATGATGATGATGATGCCGATGTCGATGCCGATGCTGACCGTAGCAAATTCAATTAGGGACGGGAGAGACGTTGGGCCATGGCCATGACGATGCGCACTTGGAAACGACCTCGAACCTGGCCCCGTCCAGCAGTGGAAATTGGGAAAATTTCAGGGGTGGATAAACCTTTTTCTTGGCCTTTATCGCACACGCCTGTTATGTGTGTCTGTGTCTCTCGGTGTCTATGGCATAATTAAATTTTATGTAGCACTTTTTGTGGGTGTAAATGTTGAACCCATGAATATTTTGCAGCAAACTTACACTGGGCAAAAATAACAAGCATTTGGCGAGGGTCTTAGCATGGGTTTGGGGTTTGGCTTCCGCCGGAAGCTGCCTGCCTGCTGCCTGCCTGCTGCTCACATCTATTGATTTAATGCGATTTCCCACTTGAATTCACACTTCCACTCTTACTATTTTGCAGTGCGACACGCCCAGCCTGTCGGATGTGGACATCATACCGCCCGTGCCGCCGCCGCCTGCCATGAAGCGGAACGGCAGCATGCGCAGCCTCAGACTGTTGCAACATCTGCAGCAGCAGCAGCAGCAACAACAACAGTTGGTATCCTCTGGCAGTCACAACAACAATTTGGCTCAGCTGTGCAGTAGCGATCTGTTGCAGGAGTGCACCAAATCGGCGCTGGACGAGTGCACTGCCACGTTGCTCAATTGCACCGCCACCGCCAATGGGAGCAGCAATCAGAGCAGCAGCAACAGCAACAGCATAAGCAGCAGCAGTCATTGCAACAACAACAATAATAATGCCAAGCCAGATATCTGCCACACGCATGGCCAGCACCACAGTCATGGCCAGAATCACAGTCAAAGTCTGAGCAAGCCACAGAGCAAACATGCAACAAACCCGCCATTTGCTGCCCACGAGGAGGATGAGATATTCACGCCCCACTCGAAGAAATCGGATCCGAGTCTGTGCTTTCTGGTGCCACCAGTTGGTGCCGGCACGGGTGCAGCCGCAGCTGCGAGTGCAGCAGCCGGAAACGGAAGTGCTGCCTCGAAATACAACACCATCGGACCGAGCAGCGATTATGCCCGACACCTGGCCCACTACAGTCGCTACCTGCAGAAGCAACACCAACAGCAGCAGCTGGCACACTTTCAGCAGCAGCGCTGCCGCTGCTTCTCCCAATCGCTGCTCAACTTCCCCCAACAGGGAGCCCAACAGCAGCAGACTCTACAGCAGCAGCAGCAGCAGCAGAGTCTCCAGCCTGCCATCTTTCACACGAGCAGCATGGACTGGACATTGCCAATTAATAGTCGCAGCTTTGGCAATTTGGTCAACATAGAGGGCAGTGCCATCGGTGGCTGCCGTGTGCCGTATCAGAAAATGCCACAGCACCAGGGTGCCGGCGCCGGTGCCGGTGCCGCTGGCAGCGGCAGCGGCAGCGGTGGGGCATTGGCCGACTCCACCTTCACCATGACATCGTTTGACAGCGACATCGGCATTGGGATCGGGCATGGGCATGGGCATGGGCTCAAAGAACGCGAATCGCAGACATCGCTGCACCAGCAACAAGGCGCTGCACAGTTGCACAGCCATTCGCATTCGCATCCGCATCATTATCATGCACACCATGCGGTCGTGGGTGGATCGGGCTCCGGCTCCCTCACGCCACAAAAGCATCACCAGCTGCACTCGAGCGTTACGAGCATCATGCCATGGAAACATCGACAGTGTCCCAGTCGCGGTTCCTCCAGCTCCGGCACGAATTCATTCCGTAAGTATTCACGTGGAGGATGTGGATTTTGGTGGGATTATTTTGTACCCTGGTAATTGTTGGAGTGGAGAGGGTATATACGATTTTTGGAGATGGTGTGTGACAGGGTGGAATAAGCGATAGATTCTGATCTAACTGAAGACCTAAATGCGGATTTATTTATAATTTTTATAAAGCTTATTGACAAAGTTTTCTAAGTCATTCTGTGCAATGCTGAAAAGATGTAGAAAAATTATAGAAAAGTTATTTAAATACTTTATGTAAGTTCATCACCTTTGAATGATTATTTTGTGATTATTTTTGTGCAATTTTAAAGAACTTTTTCGAGCAATGCCGTAGTACTCACAGTTCAGAGAATATCCTCGTCCTTTTCCCTATTTTTGAAGCACTTTTCTCCAGTTTCCACCCAAGCGACTTCCCAAAATGTGTTCCACTCTTGCTTACAGCTCATCTCTTAGTCGCTAGATATTTCCCGTCACTCCTGCTTTCTTCTATAATCCTTAAACTGCAATCTTTAAACTTTTTCCTAAACCGAAAATAGCCATTCTCCCACCCCCTTCTCCCGTTCAAATACGCATTCGGAGAGGCAGCTTGCAGGAACTTTATGACATTTCTCTGTCGCTGCATGGCCGCTGGATCTATCGCTGTACAATGTACATACATATCTCCATCTGAACTGTTGGGTAGACATCGACATGGCATTGCACTTAATATTCCGCTACCTTCCCCCCTGCCCGTGTGGCACGCCCCCCTTAGGGCTGCAATTCCATTTAGTCGTTAGCCGTTTGATTGCGCTTCGTGTAACATGGCTGCTAAATGTTAAACGTTGCCAATGCCCGCGTGACTTTGGTCTCATCATCAAGAGCTGCTGATGCTGTAGTTCTCGCTGTCGCTGTTGGTGTCCTCCTCCTCATCATCATCATTCTGACTACCAGCTGGCAGCAGCTACCATCTACCAAACTCATTCCCCATCCTTGTCATGTCTACTGGCAAATGCAATTCGTTAGCAGTCAAAAACTGCGTAACTCTGTGCAGGACGACGATGTCCTGTAGCCCTTAAATGTATGCAAATCGTTGATGCGGCTGCTCCCAGTAGCAGGAACAGCAGCAGCAGCAGGACTGCTCATCCTCCTTCTTCTGCTCCACCAACTCTTTACCGTTCTATGACTATGGCTTTTCCTCGTTAGGTTTGCACTTGCTTATCGGTAATTCACTTTGGACTCAGTCGCACAAGTGCCGGCCAATGTAATCAAATGGATACATCGCTCTGCTATCCATTCACACAGAGAGAGAGGAGTCCTTTCTCTTGCTCCTTCATGGCTAGTTTTTCGCCTCAGTTGAGTTATTTGCTTAGCTTCAGTTTCAGCTTTGCAGCTGCAGCTCCTCATGCTCCTCCTCCATTCTCTGTGCCACTTTATCAATCGGTTTTAGTTGCACAATCAAATTTGGATTTGCAATTAGAAATTACAAGCAGTTTGTCATTGATATTCACATAAGTGAAATCGTATAATGAGATTTGCATTTCCATTCGCATTGGCTTTGGCATTAGTTTCTGTCTGCTGTGCTCATCGTAGCTTTGTCTCCCACAGGAGTACAAGGAGCAGAAGCGAAGCTCTGGAACAATGTAATAAGCCCTTTCAATGTGATACCCGCATGTGCTTATTAGCTACTGTTTGCAGATTTGGATTGAGATTCAGGACTTATCTTTTGATGTTAGTTACCAAGGGTAACGAGCACGATTACATCGGTGTGGACAGCAACTGGTGACTGATTAGGAGATGGAATTTAAGAGTCTTAAAAGGGGTTAACATATGTGTGAATGTTAGTCAATGATTAATGGAAAGTGTGCTTGGAATTCTGGTATTTTGCGTATAATTAAAGCAATAGAATTGTATGGAATATTTTTATATTTGAAAGGTATTTCCTTGACAGCTTCCTAGCCGCAAAAAATGTAGCAGAAAAGTTTATTTATATTCCAATTACTTCCATACTTTTCAGCAGAGCTCTTTTAGTTATAGAACATTGCATTATCAAGCCCTCTTATGTGCATCCAAAAATGATTAAAAGTACCAAAAGTATTCCCGAATCCCCCGCTTCGTCGCTCATCCAATACTTTTAGCAATTATTTATACCATCTTTCCATGCTTCACATGCAATCTTTAACCAAGCAAAACATTTCTTGAATTACCAAATATCCCCCAAAGCTGCAGCAGCTAATTTCCTGCACATATACGTGGACGACGAGTATCCAACAAGTTGGTTCATGCTTGATCGAAGCTGATTTACTGCACTGCACTCCAGTCCACTCCGCTCCAGTCGTTGAATGGAATTTGAGAACAAGTCGAAGACCATCTTGATGATGCTTTCTGCTCTGCTCTCCCTTTGATTTCTTCTCATTTTGTAAACCAAAACCAACTCGGTAGCAATTCAATTTTAAACGTTTAACTAACCATATTTCCTTATTATCGTTTCTTTTTTGTTGCTGCTCCTGCTGCTGCTGCTGCTGCTCCTTCGATGATGGGAACACACCGCAACTTGATGTCGATGTTGCCTCTGGTCTTCCCTTATTTTGCTGCACGATGGTCGTGCACCATTACCATGGATGTTGCTCCTCCTGCTCTGGCTGCTATTGTTGCTGTAATCAATGCCACTGTCACGGCAATTTGCACACACACAAAATGCAACACAAACCAACGACCAACGGAACAATGATGATGATGATGATGACGATGAACGACGACGACGACAACGACAACGATGCTACAAACGACTTGGCATTGAACTGCCAATAACAACTACAACAATGGATGTGAAATGCTGGATATGGGATGTCAATGTGGGATGTGGGATGCTGGATGCTGGATGCTGGAACCCTTGGTCATCATGAATGCTGATGATGTTGCCTCCTACTACGCTTCTCATATGTGTCCCATGGGTCGTATGGCTGCTGCTGGCTCCTGTCTCCTACTCTCTGTGTGCTTGTGGAATATTCAGGATTCGATGCGGCCAAGCATTGGCTGGCTGTGAGCTCCATACTCTTGATAATTGGGGCTGCCAGTGTGGCTGTGCCGCTGGCTCTACGTGTGGCAGCAAGTGAGTATCTGAAACCCAAAGAGAGAGAGAGGCAGACACACACTCTCTCCATGGACAATAAATCAATTACCATAACGCAGACGACACGTTGGCTCTCGCACTATCTTTGAGTCGATTGCCACAGTGTGTGTGCCGCAGTGGGTGTCCATTGTGCTAATGCGACTCTAACTTGGTTAGAAGCTGTTGCTTCCGCTAGTAAACCAATTCCCATCTTCCTCCCCCGCCAGGTGCACCGTTTGAGGAACGTCTACGCGTGGCCGTGCAGCTGCTGGATCAAGTGCCTTTAATCGATGGCCATAACGATTTACCCTGGAATATACGCAAGTTCCTGCACAACAAACTGAATGACTTTAAGTGAGTATCCATCCAGCCATGGGCTGGGCAAAAATGCAATTAATTTTTAATACCAATTTGTGTTATTATCCCCTGCCCGCTGCCCGCTGCCCACTGCCCCTGCACAGTTTTGATGAGGATTTGCGCAATGTAATGCCCTGGGGTCGCAGCCACTGGAGTCACACGGATCTCACGCGACTGAAGAAGGGACGCATATCAGCACAGGTAAGCAGCCAAAGGATGCCCAGTCATGGCTCTAACCTCTGGCCACTAGCCACTATCCATTCTCACTTGAAATTATTATTGCACGTAACTTAAACTGAACTTGGCAGCTGGAATACACTTGCTTTTCAATGGGGTATAGCTGGTTTTAGATGAGATTTGGCCACAGAATTGATGCCACAAATAATGCTCAAAGTTAGTCCTGGAAGTGCTTATAAATCTGTTAAAATTCTCGAAATATTAAGAGCTAATCTTTGAGAATTTCCAACCCACCAAAGAGCATTCCTTGGCCTTTGCTTTTCTTCATACCAAAAAGTCTTTTCTCCTTGCTTAATATTTTATCCGCTTGGCAAGTGGTTGTCCGAGGCAACAGGCTGCTTTTGCTTTTTGCTTTGAGTCTGCGGAATAAGGCAAGAAAAAATATTAATTATGAGCCACTCACGAAGCTCAGGCTGAGACTCGGCAAAGATCTTCCTGCTGCTCCTGGTCCTCCTGTCTGTAATGATTCTTAATTATTTCTTGCCATGCAACCTGCTGGCTCGGCAAGTGCTTGGCATAGCCACTTGATGGCCTTATTGATTCGTTCCACGACTCTCGATTACAGAGAGAGGGGGGAATTTTTAAGCTTTCTTTTAAGTGGATCAAATGGAAGTGGCTGATTGGCGATTGGCAGTCATGCCAAATCGTTTAACTAATTGGAAGTGGATATTAGACATTGTAATTGACGGGCAGCCTTGCAGCCAGGTGTAGTCAAGCCAACCTGCGAATTCGGATGCGGAATGTATCAAGATTAATGAAGGAAACTGCCCGGAAAATAACGAAACTTGGAAGCGTGGTGGAAAAGTCGAAACGATTAACCGAGAGAGAGAGAGAGAGAGAGAGAGAGAGAGAGAGAGAGAGAGAGAGAGAGAGCAAAAGTTCATAAATCAATGGGGCAAACCGAAAACCACTTGAATATTTCAAATTGTCCAGAGACTTTTCCCCTGCACCCTTACCCCTCTCCCCTTTTTGCACTGCCGTTTCCGTACATTTTCCATTTCCCCAGTCGAACCACAAAGACGATTTTTCACGTTCGCCGCGAAAGAGAAATGGCTGAGGAAAAGCGAAAGGAATGGCTGAAGCATTCCAACCATAATGAAAATTAACTTTTCCAATGCATTTTATCCACGTGCCACCACCGCTCCCGTTCCCTCCCTGCCACTGCAGTGCCATAAATTCCGATTGCATTTTTGTTTGCGCTGAAAGCAACAGGGCTAACAGGTAATTGCAGTTGGCCAACTCTCTCAACACTGGCTGCTGGCTGCCGCAATTTAAAATTATGCAGCACTCAATTTAATTACGCAACCAAATGGCTCGACAGTGCCACAGTCCCACTCAGTCTTTCCCTCTCCCTCAGTCTCTTTTAAGCACAGAAAGAGCAGGTGGTGCGGAGGGACCGGGTGACTCCTTCTGCCAGGACCTTTGGTGGCTTTTATGGTGCACTAAATGTGATGCTTATTAAAACTTAACACTTCCAAACAGCCGCGATATGTTCCCACCGCACAGCTCCACTTCCGCAGCCAAAGAGCCTGCTGAGGCAGGAAACTTGCAGCAACCCTCTCCAGCTCGTTGCAGTGGCAAACTTCTTGATTCTCATGTTCGATGAGCGCAGCAAGTTATAGAGGCAATTTCTGGTTTCTTCGGTTAGCTAATTGAACTTGTTGACGAGGCTGCTTCCTCTGCCACTTAAACCTCCTGTCGACAGCCGGCACTCACTGCCGTGTGCAAAATATTGTGCAACTTCCACAAAAGTTAATTGCCACCGAGTGGCATGCATGAGAGCAGAGAACGGGGGCAGCTGTCAAGTGTGTGTGTCGTCTGGGTCTTTAGATTCATTTTGGTACCCATTAATTTGAAACATTAACCAGAGGTGTGCCACGATAATTTTTTCGAGGTGCATGGTTTTAAATGGAGGAAATAGTTGGGTAAATAATCTGTGAAATTGTAGCTAGAGAAATTATGAGTTTAGGCACCAAGGGCAAATTCCTTTTTGTTTGCTGTGATTAAAAGAAATTGTTGCTTTAATTATATATAATTGTAGTTAACAGAGCGCTTCCAGAGAAAGAGAGCGGTAACAGGGCGCTGTAAGCTGCAGCGGCCAGAGACTGTAACTGGCAGCGTCCGCAGACTGTTAATGGCAAGCAGCCGCAGGCTGTTAACATGCAGAGTGGTGGCGGACTGTTAATTGCGAGCGGCCGCAAACTGTTAACATGGCGAGCGTTAGAAGGGCTGTTAATTGAGATCGGTTCTGTTAACATGCAGATCGTTAGCGGACTGTTAACAGCGAGCGGTAGCAAGCTACAGAGCGACTAGCAGCCTGTTTACAGGGGCCTGCTAACAGCGCTTCCCTACACCAGAGACAAATCCCAGCTGCATGCATACTTTCCACGGTACCTCAAGGTTCTATCCCCTCAAAAGACACAGTCCTCCTTGAGCTCTCTGTGCTCTCCCCACTCATAAATGTACGCCTCAGCCACAATCTGCATAGTTTTTATTGCTTTTGGCTTAATGTGTTGCACAATTCCGATTCGAGTGGAGAAGTTTGCCAGCACTCAATTCTCGGCAAAACAAGTTAACTCAATAAACTTGTTCTCCAATGAAAAACGACAACAAGGAGTGGAGTGGAGTCGAGTGGCAACAACAACAACAACGAGAGGTAGAACAACGTGGCAACTAACTAGTTGACAACATGTTTCGACAATTGTTGCCCAAAATGCCAAACGTGCAGCGAATGCGACTTCAGCAGCTGAGCAACAACAAAAAATAGCAAGAAAAATACAGAGAAAAATGTTGAGAGGAGAGCCTACCGAGAGCAGCGACAGAATTCTCTGGCAAAGAGTGAGAGGAAAGGAAAGCCGTTTAATAGACAAGCCGGAAAATCACGTATATACCATAAAGCAGTCGAAATCTTGTAGAATGGCAGACATTTTTTTAGACATTCCACAACGACAGAGAGCGGAGAGCGGAGAGCAGAGCGGAGGCAGCTGCTGGCACCCCAGAAGCCAACACATCTGTGCCCCAGGGTTAGACCCTGATGAGCAGCTCCTAGAGGAAGAGGGGCAGAGCGGGCAGTAGGTACAGCAGGTAGCAACAATGTTGAAACATCATGAAGTCCGCCCCCCGCCACTGGAAAAGTTGGCTACTGTTTTTAGGGGTCCAGGTCCAGGACACGGAAACGTCGTGTTACGGTTGTCCGGCTGCATGGCCCGCTGCATTTAGCCTTTTCTCTGCCGCACACACACATAGAGCCAGCCTAATGGAAAGTGCACACACACAGTACATGTGTATGGGTAGACAGTGGGGGCTGCCAAGGACGTAGGGAAGCTACAACGAAGGACGAACGGAACGTACAGCCGACTGGCATAGAACGGATGTGGCCGACGAGAACGAGGACGTTGCCTGGCTGTAATCTGGGCCATGCAGGACATGCAGGACACGGCTGGGACATGGCTACGCGAGGGAAATGGCCAATGGTTGCAGCTTGCCCCCCGTGATACCCTGCCAGAGGGTGCTACGGCGGGCTTAAACAATGCCCATAATTGGCTTTAAAATTGCTCCATATCATCTCTCGTTTATCACACCAAAAACTCCATCTCCATGCTGCAGATTCAAGTCTAAATTTATAATTCCTTTGCTTAGAGTATTTTCCCATTCGACTGGGAAAGCCATCCCTTTCTTCCTGCCCCTTTTTGTTGCACTGCTGCGCTGCTTATCTTGTTGCAACGTTGGCTCGAAATTTATATTTACTTTTAAAAAGTATTTAGTGCTGCGTTTTTAGACAACAGACACACAAAAGCGGAAGTGGAAGGGGGCCCCAGAAGGGGCATTTTTGGTTGGGTTTTGGGTGGGATTTGCTCGAGCTTATGTACTTGCCTCTTGTTGCATAGCTGTTTTGGTGGCCAGCCAAGGTGTTGCACTTGCGGCTTTGCAACCAGCAACCAGCAAGCAGCGTCCAGCTTCAGCGTCACCACAAGCTGCTGGCATTTCCATTTGCATCTTCCGTTTTCATAATAATTATGGAGCAGGCAAACACTCTGCCGCAAGGCAATCACAAAACCCAAAGGTTGTGCTGCAAAATGCATTTTAAATTCATTGCAAACACATTCATGGCATTCATGGGATTCATGGCATTCATGACACCCAAATTCCCAGAGTTCTTGCCCAGGAATGCTGATTACATTTTACTCCTTGATGTATTTTATTTAGATATATTTTAATTAAATGGTATGCGTGCGGCAACAATGTGTTTTTGGGCTCTAACTTTTGTCCAAAACTTGGCATTTACTTTGCATAAACTTAGCTGGACTTGAGTCGCTTTTAACAGTGCTTAAGGCAGTCCTTGAATTTAAATACATTGTGTATATTATTTATATGTTTGTTTTCACTTGCATACATAAAACATAAATCAGCTCAAGGCTCAAGGCTTCTGGGTAGCCGCAGGGACCCAGCTGCTGCTGCTGTTGCATTTTGCTTCTTTCTCTTTAATAAATGATTGTCGGAACAGCAGCAGCAACAACAGTAACAATAACATTAGCCACAAGGTTGCACAAATAACCGCAGACACACACTGAACACAGATACAAGCGCTGTGCAAACACATTCACACGTGCCACCCATTGGCCAACAAATCACGCATACATAGAGCCAAGGAAAAACCCAAACCCGAACCACAACCCACAGCTACACAGCTACACAGCCCCCAGTGTGTCCTACGACACCTGAAGCATTCACAATTAACTGGAAGCCAAAATGTTGTCCTTGAGGGAATGGCTGCTGCTCCTCCGCCAAACAACTTTAAATATTAATATGCTTTTGTGTGTGTGTGTGTGGAGGAGGAGGAGGAGTACCAAGGATGAGGGTTGCAGAATGTTAATGGTGATGGCAACACCCTGGATGAGATGATGATGCTCCTCATCATGACCAAAGGCGACGCCATTGAGACGTTGACAACACTTTGGCGACGACAATGATGATGATGCTGCTGCTGGTTCATGTACTGTATACAGGTGGGCGTGGCCATGTGGCTAATGGCCAAGTGCCAGGACTTAAACACACTTGAAGAGACCTTTGAAAGCAAATACACAAAAGGCAGACCAGGCAGCCACTCCTGGCAGCAGTGTCGTCCCTTCTGCTTTTCTCTCCACTGGCATTGCACAAACAAAGGTACTTTGCCATTGTAAAGTCACACGAGCCCTGGGAAAATGGATGCGGGAATGGGGAATTCAGATAAAACACACACGAAGGGCAAAACCATCAACAGGTGCCGCAGGAGACCAGCCGGGAGACCAGACCTCTGCCATAAATGAAATATTTTTCCTGGCCCGAAAGAATGCAGCCTCGAAGCTTGCTAAAAGCACAACAAAGCGCCAGGCACAGAAAAGACGAAGAAATCCAAGAAAAATACATAGACAATTCAGCACACAAAAAACCCTGGCGCACAATCATCGCTGTAGAAGCCTCCGCTTCGTTTGGGGGCTTAGAAAATTGCTCATACGACGCGTTACCTGTTGCCCGTCTTTCCGGCGCCACAGCAGCGCCGGGTCCTGCTCCTCCTCTTTGCTCAATCAAATGCCAGACCAGACGGACATTCAGACAACTCATCTTCAAGCCCTCACCACACTCGACCGCTTTTAATGCCTGCAAAAATGTTTTAAGAGGCTTTTGGCCCAGCTCTCGCGGACAAATTAAACAAAACGAGCAAACAAAAAAACAGAGGGGCCAGAGAAATGCAAAGTACGCGTCAAAATAACGCCAACAAAGCGCCACGGGAAAAAAGGAGGAATAAAAAGTGAGGTTTTCCGTGGCCATTTCCCTCAGTTATCTGCCGCTGTCTGCCTCTAAGAGTCGCCTGTCTGCGGTAATGTCGAAGTGTCGGGGCATTTACCTTATCTGCTCTGGCAAAATGTTCTACAACACACGCCAAAAAAAGAAACGTTAACTGCAAATTGCTTTATTTCGGGTGGGGAATGCTTTTTTTTGTGTGAAGCAAAAGAGTTGGACGCTAATCGATAAGGGAGCAGATATGAAGGGAGTGTACTTGTAGCTACATTAAGGGGTGTGGAGAGTGGAGTAGGGCAACAGGAATGTAACTAATAAACTAATGAAGCGTGCTTGAGAGACGGATTACATTATGCATAGATATGTATGAGGGGGACCTGGCAACCTGATGATTAATTGGGATAAGAAGAGGTACAATTTTACCTTATTAGAGATATAATCAATACAGCAAATTAGAGTTTACATGGTACTTCTCTCTAGTCAATGAGATCGGTCTTCCTTCAGCTAATGAATTGTCGAATTTGCATTCGAGTTTTGTCTTAGAAAAGGTGAATGAAAAAGTGCCTAATTAAAATTGAAGTGTTGCAAATGTTAACGAATGGTTTTTACACCATTCCATCCATCGCTTGTTTGCTTCTTGTCCAAGCAGCTGTTGCTGCTCCCACGCATCATCATCATTCCATCATAATCATACTTGAAATAATTCCCTCACAGGTCGTTGGCAGCTGAAACTTCCGACATTCGCTTGAACATTTTGCACATTTTTTAAGCTCTGGCCAGGGCTATCGAATTATTTCTCCTAATTAGGCAAATTACCAGAGACAGAATATGCGCTTCAATCATATTTTGCACGCAAAATTGTTTAAGTTTCCACGCCAGGCTGGGCAGGGCCAGGAGCGGGAGCAGAGCACGGGAAAGCCAGCAGGCATTAGCTGTGGCCATCATTTATTGCTGCATTTCATTATTTCCCCGAGCCCATATTGTATGTATTCATGGGAACAGGACACCTAGAATACAGCCCCGAGAGAGAGAATATCTGTAGGGGGGGGCGGGTTGTGTGGTAAAAACATAAATGAACGCAAATGGTAATGAACATAGTCAGGGCATAGTTAGCACCGTATAGTCCATACAATTAACCCGAATTGAACATTAGTTCATGCACTTTGGCCACCTGATAAGCCCCACACCAACCCGAGCACAGAGTCCTGGATACAGAGCCCAACCGGAAGCCATAGCCATGCCATTACATTCCATGGATTGTGGGTACGTGTGTGGACTTTGCATAAGTGAGGTCTGTCTGAAATGTAAAGGAAAAACTAAACTAAAAATCAACACTGGGAATATAGTTGTGTCCAGCTGCTGGTGGGGATTGCTGGGACTACGTCCAGTCCCGGGTCCAGTGTCCAGGTGGATAAACTTTTGCCTGGTGCTGGAAATAAAATTTGCAGTTGTCCTTGTTATTGTTCTGTGTTTATTTGGTCGAGCAGAGAGAGAGAGGGGAGAGAGTTTCAGATGGGAGAGCGTGTGTGTGTGTGTGGGGAAACTTCACAACATTTTCTCGTCTGTTGTGCAATTAAAATTGCACAAATGCAGAGCCAACAGCTCAGGTTGACCCAATGCTCTCTCTCTCTTCTCCCGCTCGCAAATCCAATTGCACAACTAACTCGACGAACACTTTCAGGAACCCTCCGCACACCGACGGCATCGTAATTGTTTTTCTGTGACTCGTTTATTGAAAAGTTTTACATATTTCATATGCACATCTCGAATGCCCGAGACCGAGCCCCGAATTTTCTCCATGAATTACGCCAAACTTTATCATCATCAACAGGAGCAGGAGCAATAGTCGTAGCCTCATTCTGATGTATGGCCTCCTGGAACTGTGCAAAATGCACCATTTAGAGTGTTTCTTGTTTTACTTTTAATTTACTGCCTTGAGGGGGGCAGGCAGGAGACTCGGGCAGCTGGTAGCCAGGGATACGTGCCTGGCGAATGTTCTTTGCTTCCTCATGGCCTCATGTTTTCTGGTTGTTGTTCCTCCACTGGCTGGCTTGGGCCGCTTTTCTCACGAATTTATATTAAAAATTATTTATTACATTTGCCAGGGCTTCCACGGGACTCTGCTATGCCACTTCCTCTCCCGTTTTTATACCAAGCAAAAAGCCAAAACTTTTTAATTGCTCTTTTTTTTGCTTTTTGTTTGGTTTGTTTCTTTTTTTTGCCATTTTCCACACCCAGTTCCAAGGAGACACGTACGTGCTTTTATTTCCTTTAATGATATAACGTGATGGAACAGTTTTTCCACTTCTCTGCTTGGATTTGTTGTTGTTTTCGGTTTTGTTGCGGTGCTTGCTCTCTTGAGAAGTCGAGAGCAGCGACTCTTTATAGCGGGTTATATATCACATTTCACAAAAAGTAAGTTTTTTTCGGGAAGTAAAGCTGCCGCGAGATAATAAATATCACTGACTTACGAAGCGAACTTCACAGAAGGGTTTCTCTAGTTTTTAATTGGAGTTTCAAGCTGCAGAGCAAGAGCAGCAGCAGGTTAACAGGATTGTAACATTTAACAGAGCGATGTTAGCGCCTGGCTGAACTGCTTGCTGTTAGCGCCTGACTTAACTGCTTGCTGCTAGAGCTCGCTATGCCGCTGCTGTTAGCGTTCGCTGTTACCGCGCGCTGTTGCTGATCGCTGTTACTGACCGCTCTTACTGCTCGCTGTTACTGCTGCTGTTAGCGCTCGCTGCTTCGACTTTCTGAGAGCGCTGTAAGATCAGGACTCTCTCCATAAGGCTTTCATTGAACATAATCTTCAGATGAAAGAAACACAATCCAATAGAAAAAGTAATAAATGTTTCTATAATGTCCAACACATATTAAAAGCTAATAGTATTCCCATAAATTTATAACAATTTTCTCAAAATATTCTTATCCAAGCCAATTCCCACATTAATTCTCTCAAAATGTTTTATTGCAGTTCTGGGCCGCATATGTGCCCTGTGAGGCCCAACATCGTGATGCTGTGCAGCTCACGCTGGAGCAGATTGATGTGATCAAGCGGCTCACGGATCGCTACTCGCCGCAGTTAACAACGTGCACCTCGGCGCAGGGTAAGTAAACAGTTAACACAAAATAAATAGCACACATGGGCAGAACCCATCCAGAAGCACATGCCCCAAAGTTTCCCACAGAACTGTGCAAAATCCATCAGACAACTTAAGCCCAAAACTGAACGAAAAGTATGCCAGACATTCGAGTTTTTCCCTCTTGTGTGTGGGGTTATTGGGGTTGGGGAGGGAGAGCGCTGGCGCTATGCCGGAAAACTTTGACTCGCGAGTCTTTGGCAAAGTTGTTGAAAAGTATCTTGGCCAGCTACCAAAAAGCAGTGGCTGCAACTGTGGCAGTAGCAGAAGCAGTTGCAGGAGTCGCAGTTGCAGTGGCAGTGGCGATGGCGGCTGTGGCCCTTGAGGCTGCCAGCTGCTTACCGCGTGCCATATTTTTGCACCATTTCCTTTGATACGCTGCACTCACCTACATAGTTTTGCCGCACCGGCGAGGCCTCGTTTAAGCGAAGAAAAACAGTCCATATTTCTTTGTAAGTCAGCCGCAAGTAGGAGGGCGCCACCAAAAGCACTTGCCAAATAGCAAAAGAGAACATGAAAAAAGGAGGGTAGATTTCGGGTGTCGAAATGGCAGATACCCTGAGGGAAGAGATATTGGATTGAGAGCGGGAATTGCGTTGGAAGTTCAGGGATATTTTCATTGATAATGTGCGAAGGCAAGTGAAAGATTTGTGAAATATTTTAGACTTGAAAAAATAAGATTTCTCGCGTTACAAATAGAAAACTGCACACAAAAGCCACAACCACATTATACCCTCAAACCTGTACCCTTACAGGGCATCGGAAAATGTGGAAAAATATCAGCAAAAGCTGCAGAAATTGCAAGTAGCAACTTTTTGACTTATGCTTCGACTCCCCGGCCAGCATTTGTGTTTCGTTTCCCCTGTTTGTTTTCCGTTTTGCATTTTGATTTGCACTTTGCCCCCCCTCCCTGCTCCCACTGCCCTTTTGCTGCCATTTTCCACTCGAGTCTGGGTCGAGTCTTGGCCATATTTTTTGTATTTCAGTTGCACAGAAACGGCAAACGGCAACGGCAAACGGCAAAAGAAAACTAACTGAAATGGAAACGAAAGCTGGAAACTGAAAGCATAACCAACAAATCGCTTCCGGCATTTGCGTTGAAACATTTATGTAGCCCGTAAATGGAAATGTCAATAAATCATGGCCGAAGCAAAATCATCCGCAAAATAACAAGCAAAACGAAACAGGCAAACTTTTAGGCAGCTAGAGTCAAGCACTACAAAAGGATCGAATCGAATGCCACTCCGCACACTTTTCCATTGCAATGGATTAGGGAGCGGATGGCATGCCACTTGCATATGTTTTTCCCCATGAAAGGTGCAAGGAAATACAGAGCCCTGCCCTGCCACACACCCTGTCTCAATCCGCTCAGACATGAACAGCAAACAGAAAAGTGAACAATTTGCCAATCTTCTGCAGGAGACGCCTCAATGGTAGTCGAGTCTATGGAGCGTACGTCTCTGATGTCTCTTTCGCAGTCAGCATAAAAATTTCTCTTAATTGATGCGGTTTTTTTCCATTTTTTGTGCATTTTTGTGCAAAGGAAATTGGATTGAATGAAGCGAATAAAGTGGCAAATTGAGCAATAAATTTGATTAAAATTGGAGGACTCTACTAGACATGACAGAATACAAAAAAAAAAAAAGGAAACCATAAAGAAGAGCAATGGATGGAGTGGAAAGTAAAAGAATGGTAGAGAAAATGGCTAAAGAAAATGTGTGAAAATGAGAAATGAAAATGGAATGGGATTGGTTTTTCTTGGGCCTGATGATTGTCTCAATTTGGAGTTACTAAAGACATCAGTACATAAAACTGCCCTATCCTATGCAAATCCTCCTGCAACTTCCACATATTTACCTCTAATCAAAGGCAATCCCCTTGCAGCTTTGTCGCACCAAAAACCAAATTCATTCTAGTGCAAAGACCCAAAAAGCACAGAAATCAAGCAAAGTCAAAGGAATAAAAAAAATAAATATAAAGAGAGAAACTTCAACGACAACAAAGTGCGAAAATAAAAAGTCCCTCGAAAATAAACAGCCTGCATTTGTCTCTCTTTCCCTTTGGGGCAGCCCCAGCCCCTGCTGCCGCTGCTGCTGCTGTTGAATACAAATAAAACCCAACAAAACATTTTATTTTAACTACTGCAAATAAATTCAGTTGAAATTGTTGTGTGTCTTGTCCGGTTTCCACTGTCCACTGTCCACTGTCCACTGCTACTCGCTCGCTCACATGTCGTGTAAATAAAATGCGAATCCAAGTGACTATTGAGCAAATGCAGCTGGGCGTGCCACTGGGGGCTACTCCTTTCGGTTGGTCCCTGCCAAAGTGATTGTACAAAATGCAAACCTAACGAACCGAAGCACAACGCGACGAGTGACGTGCCACGTCACTCACACCGAATACGTAACCAAGTGCTAGTCCAGGTCCGTGTCCAAGCGGGAGTTGAAGTCCAAGTCGTAGTCCCACTCTGGACTCCTGGTTGGTGCAACTAAACAAATGAGCGTTACAATCGCGCGCTCCATAAACCCCACAACATTCTGGACGAGACACAGAGATCCAGCTCGAAGCATATCCCACTGCCAGCAGCAGCAGCAACAGTGTCCTTCTCTCTCCTGTCACCTGTCAGCATTCCACTGCTACTTTACATTTTCCTCTCACTCACACACTCACTCACTCACTGACACTCTCCCCTTTGTTGCTTCGTTGCTTCGTGGCTCACTCTCCAAATGTGAGAATCGTTTTTATTTGCAATTTTCAATTTTCACCTTCAAAAGTGTAAACTTCAATTTACACTGCCACTTCTCTTTCTCCCCCTCCCCCTCCTGCTCCTGCTACCCCTTGTGCAGAAAAAACGCAAAAACCCCACTGGCACCGCCAACCAACCATCAAGAGTCCGAGAAAAGGATATTGAGAAAATTGCATTCTGCTGCAGCAGTAAGAAAAATAAGGGTCCAAGAGGTATTTGGTCGCATCAAGCTGAAAACTTCAATGCTCTATCGCAAATGGGGTATACAGAACTCAGTGAAGAGTACAAAGAATAGAATATAAATCAAGATGAATCGAAAAGTAGATTTACATAAAATATGAATGGTAGAACGATTTGGATAGGTAAACGGATTAAACGAAATTCAATATTCGTCAAACGACAAGATATTTGTTTTGATAAAACATTTTAAACATAATAGCCAGAGAAAATAGAGAAATTATTAAACGTATATTAGAATTTATCAAGAAGCGAATACATTTTTTGGTAATGAAAAATGTGCATTAAAATATTTGAAATTTACTTTATTGAATAGTTAAAAGTTCACAAGTCAGAATACATTTTAAATAAGTCTTTAAGCCCCATTCTCCGTATCATCTTCAGAGTATCATAAGTTCCCCTGTCTGCCACATACAATGCCCAATCATTGTTCCCCTTTTGTTGCTGCTGCAACTGCCACTAGTGTTGGGGCTTCTGCTGTTGTTGCTGTTGGTTTATTGCGTCAAGTGGCATTTGGTTGGGATTTTCATTTTGAAGCGTATTGGTGGAGTGGACCGGACCCGGACCACTCTCTGTGTGCTGCTATGAGTATTGCCTCAATTCGCATCCGATACATTCGGGCCATCTATTATACATTAAGGCCCTGGTCACCAGAGCCAGAACTGCGCTAAGGCCAAAGTCACAGACAATTACATGCAGCCAGCACCAAAGAGCGAGCCGTGCCCCAGAATTGAACTTCAGCTCACGTGGCGCATTTTAGTGCCTTCGAGTTGCCTTTAGTTTGGCAGTGGCAGTGGCGGTGGCTGTGGCAGCATCCCAGAGAGAAACGGCAAGAAGGATTTCTTCGTTCTTCCCCTATTGGTATTGGTCCTGGCCGAACATTTGTTTATTTGCTCCATATTTTAGGGTTTTACGGCAACGACGTTTCCGACATCGACCAGGTTTTTGTGGCAGGTATTTGGTTTTGCCCAAGCAACAATGGTGGAGGAAGCCAGGAGCCCATAGCCAACATTGGAGCACACAATTCCCGTTTCCATGGCCCGTTTCCATTGCTTTTGATTTTGCAGAGCTTATTTGCTTATTGGCAGCGTATTCTGCGTCCTGCCTCCTGTGTCTTGGAGTGCCTTTTGCCTCGTTCCGTTCCCCCTTGCTCCACTCGATTATCGTTTCTCAGTTCGTTTTGGGTTTTCTCGCAGGAAATGGCCTGTTTGTGCCCGTTCGTTATGTGTGCGAAAATTTATTAACCCGATATTCCCCTTTGTGTATTTGTGTTTGCGACACGATACATTCGAAATGTTATCAAAATTGGCTGGCAAACACACAGCAAATGCTTGCAACAAATTATAATGGAACACGGGAACACTCTCCCTCTGGAACAAGTTTCCCCAATTATTTGCAGATAAATCGAAATGCAAATGGAAATGAAAATGCTGATACGAGTAATCGAACCCACAAACAATTCTTGTATACTTTTTAATATGCATAAAAGCTTTCAGATTCAGATTCATCAATGACAACCACTTTCGATGCACTTGAAATGTCAAAGCAAATTTAATATTTTAAGGCACTACAAGTTTTTCGGCCACTCGGAAAATTGCACATAAAACTTGGCCCCAAGAACTTTAAGCAAACATTGTTCAAGCTTTGCTGACTAAAAACAATAATGAATGAACGAGTGGAGTGAAGTGAAGTGGAGTGGAGTGAACGGAACGAACAATGTTCAAGTATTTTGACAAGTGCCCGGCCAACAAAATAGAATGTCAAGAAACAGATCAAAGCTGTTTTGGGTCGGGCTTTAACTGTGGGTTCAGGGTCTGTGTCTGTCTCTCTGACTCCCTAGTTTTAGCCAAGACAAGCGTAAATATTGCATGGCACAGCGAAATGTTTTGTTTTATGGCACTGGGACCGTTACTGGAACTTCTCAACAAAAAGGATAAACTGACAGATGAAGCACCAGTGGGGGAGAGACTGACACCAAAAACTAACCACATTGTATTCTGAGTAGTGCTCAATGGGGGCAACCGACCAACTGACAGACCAGCAACAACAAATGTTACTTACGAACCGAAACAATGGCAAAATTTTAAGTTTTGAGTCTGCTCAACCGCAAGAAACTTGAGCTAAAAATCTACGACAGATAAATAATTTATTTGAACTTTTTCCATCCATCTTTGCAGACATCATTGATGCGCACAAGAACCAACAGCTCTGCTCGCTGACTGGCGTCGAGGGTGGACACTCCCTGGGCGGCTCCTTGGCCGTGCTGCGCACCCTTTATGCGATCGGAGTGCGGTATATGACACTCACCTCCACTTGCCATACGCCGTGGGCCGATTCAAGTTATGCGGACGCACCGACCTTCAATATGAAACATGGCGGACTCACCCTCTTCGGGAAGGTAAGTCCCATTCGCTTCCCCTTACACCTGATTTAATGCTAATTAGTTGGGTCCTTGGTCCTGTGTGTTGCGCGGGTTCCTCTGTCAGTTGCCGGCTTACACGGGGATTTGGTCGCTGATGATGCGTCGTCCTTTTGGCTTCGTCCTACGGCCCCTGCTCAACTTCATTGTAACTACGGTCAACCGCAGTCAACGCTTTGTTAGCCCGGCCATAAACATGTGCAGTGTGTGTGTGTGTGTGTGTGTGTGTCGCAGGACGAAATATGCTGGATATAAAGGGGAGTCAGAGTAGGAGAGACCCCGGCAAGGCAGTTATGTACTTAAGTGCCCTTTCTGTAGGCCGCTTTCGTGCGCTTTGTGCCCTCTAAATGGTTCAACAGTTCTCAAATTAGGTGCCTACTACAGTTTACAATTGCCAAGGCGGCTTTGCTGCTGGGATTTTCGTGTGACCTGTGCACGGGTGCGGTGGGGGGATGCGCTGGATCATATATATTAAATTAGGACTCGGCCCCGGACCAGTAACCAGAACTAATGGCCCATAAGCTGCGGCCAACCAGCCGGGAATACAACTTGGAATCCATATAATGGTTATTATAAATTACTCTAAACAGAATTTGTGAGAGGAGAGCAGCGCCAAATCGGATCAAGTAATTGCTGGCATATCGATGGGGTGTTAAATCAGTCGCTTGTGATCTTGAATTTCCATTCAAAGAACTTTTCGCTGCAATCTGCACTGAAGGAGGTCATCAAACTTGATGCTGTCAAACATCAAGGCCAACAAAACGCATTTTCATCCGAATTTTTCCTGCCCCTTACTGACTCAAAGAAAAACCGCACACAAGCGATTACAATATTTCCGTTTTGTCTTCTAAAAGACTCTTTTGCTGGCTGCTGTATGCTCGTGTAATTATTTTGAAATTCGAAATTTCCTCGTCATGATGATGTTCAAACATGATTACAACGCAATCCGATGGTGTGTTTTTGATGCACTTTCGATGGGTATATTTAGTTCTGTAAAATATGTGAATACTTTTATTGTTGTTAGTTAATATAAGAGCCTGTTTGGTGGATTTCCAGCCAATCTTTGCCCTGAGTTTGCCAGAGATTTACTTTAAGTTTGTACAGGAATATTGCGCATTGTTCGCAGATTTTTAACACTTAACCCAAAGTGTATTTAATGCTTCGACTGTTTAGATCTTATAAATGCCTCATTCTTGTTTCTATTTTTTTGTTCTGTGTGTGTGTTTTTGGGTGTTCTTCATGGCACATCTTGACGGGCCTCTGGCCGCCGTCCGCTTCCTCTTTGGCTGTGGGCTAGTGCCAAAAGTCTATTTACAGTGAAACGCAGCGACAGACAAAGTGCATGCGGAAATAAAATGTGCACAAATTACACACACTCACACACACAGAAAAGAAAACAGAAAATAAAACCTACAATTTGTTTCGAAAAAAAGTGCAAAAATGTTAAGAACAACAGTGGAAAATATCAACAAACAGAAAATGATCACAGCTGCTGCTGATTCAAGGCAGGAAATTGTAAATTTACTGATTCCCATTCCATTTTTTGTTGATTATTTATGCATCAAAATGATATATTCCTGGGCCTGTTCTGTTTGCTCTTCTGTCATCTGTTTGTGGGCCAATTAAATATGGAAAATAACAACACCGAAATCAGCGTCACTTCCTCATTTAAACCTGCGGAATTTTCAATTACACATTCCCAAAACAATAGATGCCGAGCTGCCGAGAACAAAATACGAAAATGAAAAGTGAAAAATGCAGCCAGGCGCAGGCGCCCAGAGAGTGTGGCAGTAGGAGAAGCGAGAGCATAGAAAGAGCGAAAAAGGTGGCAACCGAAATGGAAATATTTCGCCGCAATGAAAACGAACAGGCAATGGCAAAATCGAAATTTTCATTCATACTATAAGGTGAATTGCACTGTGGGACAAGACAATGGGGAGTATAAAGGAAAACTATGGGCAGATGTAAAGGAATAACTTAGGGAATTAATAAATCGAACATGAGTTGAGATAATATTATACAAAGAAATATTTTATTTATTTCGAAGAATATTCAGAGTGAAAAATCGACTTTAAGCAACAATTTTGTCTGCCTCTGTTCTACTACCGCACAATTCTTTACCTTTTATTGCCGTCTTGTACCACTGTCTCCCCACTTAACGTTGTCCGCCCGCGCTCGCTATAAATACCCGCCACTGGCACCCACCGACGCCAGAGGCGCCAGAGTCACATGTGTCCGTGGTGAGAACGCGCTCTCCGCGCTCTCTGCGCGCGCTCTCTCTGGCAGATTTCGCCCCGAACCTGCGCTCGTGGTGTGGTAGGAATGCCATCGGTTTGGCTGTGCTGCGGCTCGTGTCGCTTCATTGTGGGGTGCAGCGGTTCAGTCGACGAACGAAATTCGCCCCAACGAGAGGCAGCTGCCAGCATTGTACAGAGACCCAAGCTCCTCCGTGGCAGTTGTGAAGTGTTGTAGTGTGGAGAACGAGAACGAGAACAGAAAGAAGGAAGGAAGCAGAGAATAGGAGGAAAATACACAGCGAAACGAATACACAGAAAATATACACTCAGCCAGCGACAGCGATACGTAGAGACAAAATACTCGAAAAAGAAATTCGAAATTTGCTGCTGGTACGGAAAACGCACATTTGGGGAAAGAAAAGGTGAACAAAAAGCTAACGATTAACTACTAACCCAGGGAACAGCGCAAGCACTACTAACCAACAAACTTCGAGCAAAAATGATGAGCCAAGTGGACTAATCGACTACTTCCTCTATACACACAAACACACATACGAACACCCGTGATTGATGATGACAACGCAGCAGCTTGTACAGGCAGGTACAGAGGAGGCAGCGTCACCAGAGGCAGCAGCAGCACAACAGACAGGGAACAACAACGAAGAAGCAGCAGCCATGACAGCAGCAGCCACAACAGCAGGCGGTGCTGGTGGGCAAAAGCAGAGCAGCAAGCACAGGTCGAGGTCATCCGCACGCTACGATGACGTCGAGAAGCAGCAGCGCAAGAGCCGCGCCATTGTCTCCATACCGAATACCATAAAGCTGAGCATGCTGAACAGCGGTTTGCTCTCCTTCGAACGCATCAAACTGGAGGCACGCGACGAGAACAATTCGCTCTCCAAGACCATACCCAATGGACCCATCGATATAAGACATTTCCTGAAACTGTGCGATCTGCGCAGAAAGTTCCCAGTGCTGTACAAACTAGAGTTCCAAACGGCAGCGAAAGTGGAGACAAACACCTGTCGGCATGCGTTGAAGAAGAACAATCAGGAGAAGAATCAGAATCCCAAGTGCATTCCATATGACTACAATCGCGTGGTGCTGGAGAAGGTGGGCGGACTGCAGGACTCGGACTATGTGAATGCCTCCTATGTGGACAGTTTGCTCAAGCCAAACGCGTACATCGTGACCCAGGGACCTGTGCTGGAGACAGTCGTGGCCTACTGGCGCATGGTGTGGCAGGAGAACATCAGCGCCATTGTGATGCTCACGAAGACCTTTGACTTTGCCAAGGTGATGTGCCACCAGTACTGGCCAGCCAACATGGAGGTGCACGAGACATACGGCGACATACACATCAATATCGTGAGGGAGGAGCAGCTGGCCAATTTCCACATTCGCACCTTTCGGCTGTACAAGAAGAACGAGCAGGGGGAGGTGTGCGATGAGCGGCTGATCCTGCAGTTCCACTACACCGAATGGTACTCCCACTCGTGTCCCTTCTCCAACGCGCTGCTGGAGTTCCGCCGCAGAGTGCGCCTGGTCGTGGGCAACATCATCAAGGACGAGGACGACATGCGTGGACCCATTCTGGTGCATTGCAGCGATGGCGGCGGTCGCTCTGGTGTCTACATGTCCATCGATGCCAATCTAGAGCTGGCCGAGGAGGAGGAGTGCTTCAATGTCTTTGGCTACCTGAAGAAGCTGCGGCAGTCGCGCAAGGGTCTCGTGGAGAACGTGGAGCAGTACAAGTTCATCTACGACACGCTGGAGGAGCACATCATCTGCGGCAAGACGTGGTTCCCCGTCTCCGAGCTCTCGGATCGCCTCAAGGCCAAGGCCCGCCGCAACTCTGGCACCAAGCTGAACGAGTACCAAATGGAGTACGATCAGATCTGCAAGCAGACACCGCGATTCACCATCGGCGACTGTGCTGGCGGACATCGCGCAGACAACAGAGAGAAGAACCGGGATGTGCTGTGTGTGCCGCCGGATAATTTCCGGCCCTACCTCACCTCCTTCCAGGGCAACGCCTTCACGGACTACATCAACTCGGTGTTTGTCGATGGATACACCAAGCCGCGCGAGTACATTGTCACCGAGTGGCCCATGAAGCACACGCTGGGCGAGTTCTGGTCGCTGGTCTACGATCAGGAGTGCTCCGCAGTGGTGGTGCTCTGCCAGCCGCCCTCCCAGTCCCAGTCGTATCCCTCCTTCTGGCCAAACAAGTCCAAGATGGAAAAGTACGGCCCAGTGTTCTCCGTGCACTATGTCATGTCGAAGAGCTACACAAACATCAAGCAGTGGGAGTTCAAGATCAACAAGAAAATTGTTTCCTTAACCGAAATGATGGCCGGGGTGAAGGCGCCCACGAGGACCGTCCAGCTGTTTCAGCTCACCTGCTGGCCAATGGGCCACAAGGTGCCCAGCTCGACGAATTCGCTGGTTTATCTGATGAACATGGTGGAGATATGGCGGAACAAGGTCGACTATGGCCCCGTCTGCGTTGTCTCGCCCGATGGTCGCAGTCGGGCCGGTGTCTACTGTGCCGCGAATGCGTGCATCGAGCAGGTCATCCAGCACGGGGAGGTCGATGTCTTTCAGGCGGTCAAAACTGTGCGCCGTCACAGGCCGCAGCTGGTGGAGAACATGACCGAGTACAAGTACTGCTACGATCTGGTCCTGCACTATGTCCTGCACTTCCTCAACAAGAAGGACTGATTGGACGCGAAAGTTGTGCGTGACTTTTGTTATTTTTGGGCGCTCCGAAGCGACCCAGCTCAGGCTGCTTTAATGGTTAACAATGATGAAACTCAACTTGAACAAGTGGTCCACATTTGATGCCTCCCCCATCTATGGGTGGGGCACACACACACACCGCCTTAAAGCAATAATACTGAGTATTTTGTTGTCCACCAAAAACCGATTTTGTTAACTCACTTTTCAAGCGGCGCATCGAAATGAAATTTCACGCCCGCTGAGCCAAAAAGCGAGTGCACATTTTTACTTGTTTTTCCTTTTGGTTTTTGCAAGAGGTCCGCGTGCCACACGACTGGCAGGACCATACAAAAAAACACACAACAAAAAACTATTTAACTATATATCTACTATATCTATAAACTATATCTATTATATATACTATTTGCCCATTGATCTGAACTGTATGTGCCATGTGTAAAACCCTAATTGTTGTTTGTTACGATGATAAATGTTATGAGACGAAGCGGAGAGAAGTGAACAGAAGAGAGTGATGAAAGAGTGGAAACTATTACGATTACCATTTATATTTATATTTATATTTATATTTATATTTATACATCCTAAATAGTTACATCTATGTTTACGTTTACTCTTAAAGAACTTGCTACCTGGGCAATTGTTGATATATATCTAACTATCACACAAACACACACAAATACCTTAAACACATATGAATCTATTTATATATACTACATAGAGATATACATATATATGAATGTTATGTACTGCTGTAAAAGTTGGAGGATGGAAGAGATTGTTTTTCCGGTATGAAATTTGATTTTTTACTCATGTTAAAGGAGAATATTAATTGCAAAAAAAACTTCAGGGGGAATGGAGAGAACCAAACTTTATATATTATTATTTATTTATAGTAAACACACACACACACACACACTTGTACACACTCGTACATAAGTATATGATTGTATAATAATTTTCCTGTATTTTCGCATTTATGCATTAGAACAGACAGAAACACACACAAAGAGAAACCTACATACATATGTATATTGTTGTAATTGTAATGGAATTATTTATTTTTTTAAATGTGACAAACGAAAAAGAAAGAGCATGTATTTTTGATCGATTCAATGTCCAATATACATAGAGAAGACATAAAAACATTTAGACGAGAAGCGTAGATAAGTGAGGAGAGGAGGAGGAGAAACAGAAACCAATAAGAAACGAAATGAAAATAACTTTAAAATTGTGTTTTGTTAATTAATATTGAAGGGAAATGGAAAGAAGTTTCCTGGAAGTCTGAGCAAATTCCTTGCAAACAATTTATTCATGATTAATGTTTCCTTAACGAATATTCACCAAATATTTATAACACCAAAGTTTATGCCCAATACACAAACAATCTCAAATTTGAACTTAGGTTTGTTATTTTCTCTCTGATCTCACTTGAGGATCGTTCGCCAAACTAAGTACTTCAAAGAATTTTCATGAATAAACAATGATCCAGCCCCAGCGGTTGTGCCATAAAACTGCGTACAGTTTGTGGCATAAATGTAGAGCATTGGATACATTTTTAAAGGAAACATCATTGTCTGATAAAAGTATTTTATTTCATTTATTTTAAACGCCTTTGTGGCAATTTTACCTCTGTGAAATGTTCGTAAATTTCACTTGACCTACAACCATGTCAGGCACTGTCTTTTCCTCATTGGAGATTATGCAGATCTCGCTTGTATGTACACTGTACATTTGGCATTCCTCGGCTGAGTCATAAATTCGAAATATCAATCAAAATGTTTGCCCTGGCGCATTAAAAATTGAGATCGTATGGCGGGAGATGGAGTGGGGGAGGCGAATGTACATTTGGCAAACGAATCGAGATGCTCATACGATAAACAAAAATCCAGACAAAAGCGATCCAGCCAGAGGGCCAGTGCCATGAGCCATGAGCAACAATACTCGCACCATCCATTCATATAAACCTTGACCAGATTACAGTTTAATGCGTGCAAATCAAACAGAGGCGTTGTCCATGTATAGATATGGCACGGCGATAAGGCACGGGGCAGCCATTGAGTGGGTGCCGAGAGAGAGAGAGAGAGAGAGGAGCTGGAGCTTCAGCGTGTGGAGTGTACTGAAGTGGAGGTTTGGCTATAAAATCGATAAATGACAGCACACTTTGCTTTAGTCAGCCATAAAACCGAAGCGGCAATAATAGTAAAACTTCGAGCCGCGCAATGACATCAGCAGAAAACTGAAACTGGGGAAAAACTGTCCGCCATATGAAATTGAAAAATTGCAGACAAAAAATCTCTAAAGGAATTTAAAGCAAAAGCGTAAATCGATCGAATGTTTTTCCACATTACTCATAAATGAAATTTGCGCTCGGGGATTTTCCATTTTTCTCTCTCTGTTTAATTGCGGGGAAAACTCATGCAGCGTGCAAATTTGTGTGCCGAATTTTATGCCAAATATCGCCAGACAAATAAACCAATTAGTTTTTTGTATTTTCTCTGGAAATTTATATTTACGAGCTATTAATACAAAAGCCAACAGCAGGCAGCGCGTGGCCAACAGCAAAACAAAAACACAGCAAAGTGGGGGGAGGGAAAGATGCTGCCTGGCAGGGGGTGGCGGGAGAGGACAATTAAGTTTTAGTTAATTAAAAAGTCAGTGGCAATTAATTTCGGGGGCTGTGTGCCAACAATTTATGGCACACACATAAAGTTATGAAAGCGAATCACAGTGGATTAGCAAAGTGGAACTCTATGGGCGGCCTGGCTATGAAAGGATGGGCAGTTGTCGTGGGGGTGTACATTTGGGGCAGGACAGGATGTTCAAGGACATTTTCATGGGATTAAAGACTTAAAGGGGTTCGATTGGGTAAGAGGAATATTCATATTCTAAACTGCATTGATTAAGAGTTACAAATTTCCGAAAAAGGTTGCCAAAAGGTTGTTTTTGCCACACATTTTCTTTCCATTGAGTGCCTAACCATACGATTCACAGATAGATCTGGCACACTTTAATCGCTGTTCTGCTTAGCTGCTTCACATGTGAAATCACTATTTAATGGCGGCACATTTGCAGCAGAGTAAAGAGACTTTGTCTTGTGTCTCCCTGGGTGAGAGTTTTGTCTTGCACATCTACAGATGTAGCGACAGCATTGGGTTGAGGGTTTTGGGTTTGGGGTCTTGCAGTTGTTAGCACACTTGTTTACAATAAACCCCAGCCAGTAAACTAGAGTGCCAACAAACCAAATGGCAGCTGCATAGTCCAGACATGACAGCCCAACGCACATGCACATACGGAGCCAGAGCCAGAGCCAAAGCCAGACTTCATGTGTGTACAACAATAGACATTAAGCAAATGCTTGAACAGACACACAGCCAAATGCATTGCTGCGTAGGAGTACTGTAGATATATATGTATGTATAAAGTCTGAGGCAAAGTCAGTCGCTTAGTCAAACGGGCAAACCATTTCAATTTGTCAGTCATCCACAGACAGACTCGAGCCAAGTGCAATCGGAATGAATGCGCCCATGCCGATGTACATGTATGTACTTCTTCTCTGTCTTTGTGTGTGTGTGTGTGTGTGTGTGTGTGTGTATTTGTATTGTGTGCATGTCGAAGGCGTCGTGTTAACATTAATTAAATCTATAGCCTGACAAGCACAATACTCCACACAAGCCATTGCCCATTGTCTTCGCTGGTTTCTCGATTGAATTATTGGTTTTGATTTGCAATTTTCATTACTCCAGCACTCTCTGGGGAATGTGCTCGCACTTCTCATAGTTTTTAGTTTTAACATTGAAAAGCATATTAAGTAAAAAGTTATCTACGCTTTTGTTTGTAATTGGAAATTGTCAGCGCAGCGCTGGAAAGTATGCTAAGCCCCCAAGGGGTCGCACAATCGCACAATAATAATAATCAGCCCATTGATTATTCGCATAATTGTTCGGCATTTGCCGATGTTTAAGCACCACTCGGTGGATATCTACGATTTAGTAATGCATTTAAATTAAAACGAGCTCAACTCCTGCGGTTGCTGTGCACTTTTGAGCTTTAGTTGTCAATGGAATTAATGTAGATTTGGGAGTGCGAATGTGTTTAAGACACTGCCATGCTAGTTCTTTCATTACTCATCAATAATAAATATTTGTAGTGCTGCAATCAAGCTTTAATGTTGCCCCAGAGAGCTGCAGCTTATTTGCAATTAATTGAAAACGAACTGTGAAAAGTGAACTAGGAATGGGTGGAACAAAAGGCATTCGTTTAATTATTTAAATTTAATTTCATGTCATATCAAATTAGTGCCACTCATTTTCACCCCAAGCACGTGGAAAATGGCAAACGTGAAGGCCTCCCAGGCACACAGACTCCTTCTTCCTTTTTGCACCAGACACAATTATGCAGTGCACATTGTGGCACCTCCTCCTCTCTCTCTCTCTCTCTCTCTCTCTCTCTCTCTCTGTGTGAAAGACCAACACAATGGCCCCGGCCATTGCCTGTATGTCCTTTGCTCTCTCTCTCTCTGTCTGTCTGTTGGCGCTGGGCGTTTATAAATGGCTAAATGTTTATGCATTATGCCACCGACATATTATTATTATTATTCTTCTTATTATAAACTCATTGCGCTGGCCCCGTCAATGCTCACGTAGGCGTGCCAGGCGGCTGCCATATGCGTGACTGAATGCCGAGAAGGGTGTGCATACAGGTGTATAATAGGCATCATCACTGCAATGGCAATGGCAATTGCTCTAGGAACAGGAGTGTGCCGAGTGTAGAGCAGAGTGGAGTGGAGCCAAAAGCAAACACAAGCAGACGTTGTATAATTGAATAAGCTAAACAACGAAACCAAATGAGAGGGCCCCCCAACCGTGCCAACAAAATGGCTCAAACAAAGGCCAATAATGCAACCAGAAATTGCTGTAGTTTTAGCTGTTGCATGTGTGGAAAAAGAGAGAGAGAGAGAGAGAGAGAGAGAGAGTGGCAGCCACATTGGGGAATACTTCCGCAGTCAAAGAATGCAGCAGCTCTTGAGGGAAACGGAAGCAAATAAATCTTTTAAAATGTTTAACCCCCCAAACCACTGCGGTTAAGAAAGGAAATGCAATGAAAAGATTTTCCCCACTTTAACAGCTTTGTGTCAACAGTTTCCTGGTTTAAAGTACTGCTAATTATTTCACTAATTAATCATCCAAATTCCATTTTTGCCTTTGCCCAAATTGGATGCGAAATAAATCAATTTCCTTTTGTCGCTTCCCCGTAAATAATTGTTTTGCATATTTATTTGTAGTTTCTATTCGAACAAATTGCTCGGCAATTTGTAGCTTATTCATTAC